TGAAGCGTTCAATGTACGCCCACAGAGACTCATCTCTACCCTGGATGATCGCTTCGAGCAAAGCCTCTGATTTCGAGTGTCGACGGGAGGCGGTGAAGTGCCTCGAAAATATCCTCCTGAGTTGTTTCCAGGAGGTGATGGATTCATCGGGGAGGCTTTTGTACCAAGACATCGCCCCCTTCCTGAGAGTAGTTGGGAATAGTCTGCATTTGATGGCCTCTCTGACTCCTCGGTAGTCGAGGAGGGCGTCAGTGTTCTCGATGTGTTCGTCAGGGTCTGTTGTTCCATCATAGGTTCCCAATGGAGGTGGCTTATCCAGGCCGACAGGGATGGGGCCTCTGTAATCTCCCTCGGTAGCGGGCCACGGGGCTCGTCATCCTCACTATCCGCGGCAGATGGAGAGGGGGAGTGATAGTTTTTACCATGTCGATCGTCACGGTCCCGTCAGGGGAAGGAGTTCCTCTGTTTGTATTTTGGTTCGGGTGAAGGCAATCGAGCGCGGTCAATTTGTCGGTTCTTCTTCCTCTTCTTGAATGAAGGGGAGTCTTGATCTCTCGCAAGAGGTGTGTGGTTGCTTTTCTTGAAGAAATAAACGTCGTGCCTCTCCTTTCTTGGTGGTGGGCCACGCCTAGGTGGTGATATACTGGGGGAGTTTCGTCGTTGGGTTCTCCGTGGAGGAGATCTTAATCGCATGTTCTCCCAGGCCCTTATCCTTTTATTTTGTTGTAGGATGAGGGTATTGGTCTGATTGATAGTAGCGAGCAATGCTGCCATGGCCGGATCAGTGTTGAGAGGGATGGGAACTGGTTGCAATATGTCTAGAAGTTCCTCAGTGGTATTCTTGGGGCGTCCCTTATTCAAGAATTGGTCGTCGCCATGTCAGGCGTCAGTTGAATCTGGAGACACAGACTGTCCGTCTCAGAAACCCAGGTTGTCCTCGAGGTGAGGATGCTCCCGACTTCCGTCGGTTTTGTGAGCATGGGAAAGAATAGTCTTTCTGGGAAGATGGAGATCATCATGGTCGGCCATGATTAATGAGAGGAATCTTGAAAAGTTGCTTTGATCTGTAAGTTTCGAGGAAAGAAAGACGGGGAGAGCAGTTTTCCATAGACGGCGCCACTGATCTTATCGGTTGATCAGAACCTGTAGAGTGGCCGGAAGATGATCGGTAGTCGAGTTTTGATGTCGAGGAGGAAAAAAAGGGGTTGTACCTGCAAGACACTCTGACGGTTAAGTAAAAGTGTGAACAAGGATATACAAGCAAAGTATTAAGGTATTGGTGGTGAATAGTGAATATTCGATACATGGCTCTCATAGGTGTGAGGGTTTATATAATTCCCCTGGCGCATGACCATTGGTTCCTGATTTCGCGCCTAGATATATGGGTCCATAAAATCAAGTAACTGCCAAGACTTGATCAAACTGGGCAAATGTGCCCGTAACTAGCCGTTGATTCTGAGGAGGGGGCCAATTACGAGCATCTCTCTGGTCGGTTCTCGGTGGCCTGTACGACTTTAATGCCGGGCAGGATGAGAGGATGCTTATCAATCATCCTAGGCCGGTGCTGGCTTGTGAGGGAAAAGGGTTGATATTGCCCGGCGGATAACAGGCGGTTCAGATCATAGACGTTCGGGCCATACCAAAGGAAAGGTCTAGACTGGGCCAATTCAAGTTGTCGGGCTAGTCCAGAACAAAAAGAGATAAGGAAATATAAATGATATCATAGATTTATAGAGGTTTGATCTAATAAAGTGTTCTATTCCTCTCCCCAAGAATCTATCTTGAGAGTATCCACTAAATCTTGAGAGCTTTAGAATGTTATGCCCATGAACTCCCTTTTATAAGGAAATGAAGTTTTAGGCTAACTTCTAACCAAACAATGAACAATGAATGAAGTAGTTAGGATTTACACCAAATGTTGAACAAGGGATGAAACAGTTAGTCTTCACACCAAATGGAGATTCTACACAGGTTGATCTCAAATCAAACAAGAGTTTTGAATTGGCTATCTTCCAAACCGAACTGACGTTTTATACGGGTTGACCATAAACTGAATTGAGATTTATACTTGGATGATCTCAAACCTACTGAGTTTTTAGATCGAGCTGAACTCAAAAATTAAGAGAGATTTTACCACTAGACTAATCTCGAACCAAATTATTTTTACCACTAGGCCGATCTCGAATTAATAGAGATTTTTCCACCGGGCTAATCTCAAACCAATAGAATTTTTACCTAGACTGAGCTCAAGAACCGTTGTGGAGATTTTTACTTGTTGATCTTCACAAATCAAAAGAGAGTTTTTTTAATGGCTGAACTCACGAACCAAATGGACACTAAGACTAATCTCCCAAATACAAATAAGAGCTTTTTAAGTGGTTTAGCTCCCAACCAAAAAATCACTTCTTCCTTACTAAAGAAAAAAAATTATTCTTGATAAATTTACAATTATATCCTCACCCAGAACAATATCCTCACTTAGACTCTAGAACACTCTCAAAGCATTATGACTAAAATATGTGAGAGAATAATAATGGTTTAGATACGTGATGACAGAAATAAAAAGAGAAATTTATCACATTTTCTGAATGTTTTGAAATGATAGATATGCTCTCTCTTTATAGGCTAAGAAATTGTATCGTAAACAATCCATGTGCCAAGTAAATGACATAATCAATTAGGCTAATGGATTATACAATGTCAATAATCGATAAAAATGAGAGGTTTCTCAATGTGTTGAGCGTGTGTGATTTTCCATAATAGTTCCTGAAATTTCCTTGTGTCTTTACAAGACACTGATCACTCAAACATACACGATTAGACGAACTTTTACACTTTTTCTCTTTCACACTCTAAAGCTTCAAGTCTTTACATCATTATCTTTGATTTTAGAATCACGCAAAAATCTTGAGTCCTCTTGATGATGCTTGAGATATTTCAATGTTAGTTACCATCATATAGATGTTGAAAGTTTAAACCACCGATGATCATAAACTCTAAGTCTTCACTTGACTGTCGTTAAACTACAGTATTGACTTTAAACAAATGTCTTTAACCTTATTCGAGAGGATAGCTTGATCAATAATTTTGTGCATCTTTGACCGCTTGAGTTAACTTTAACAATTACTTGACTTCAAGTGTTGTCATCATCAAAATTAAACAACTACTGATTTGACTTGTATCTTATTATCCATAAGCTTTACTCTCTTGGATCACTTCTTAATTATACTTACAAATACATAGATCTACAACATTGGAAGACGAACCTAAAAGCTGTTGAGGGCGGACTATTATTAATCTACTTTAATAAAAGACAATATAGAATTCGTCAAGAAATGCGAGAAATTCCGAGACATGTCAATCTTCATTACGCACTAGTTGAACTCCTCCATTCTATTACCACGCTTTGAGTATATTATTAATGAGGCATGGGTATTTTAGATTCTTTTTCTCTAGCTTGCAATCAACTAAAATTTATGATAATTGGAATAGATTATTTCACCAAATAAATAGAAAGGATTCTTATCGTTTGCTTAAAAATTGCAAATAGGTTAATTTGTTTTTATTAGTTTGAATAAAGCATAATAATAAAATAATGTTTGAAGTTTGAACAAGTAAAGTAATAAAAGTCAAATGGTAAGGAACTACCAAAACCACGTCAACATTGAGTAGGTTGCGCTTTTAATGGAGAAAAGTACCGACTCTAAAACCGTTGTTTGTACACTTGTTTCCTTGTTCCTTCAATTGATTCCACCACTTTATTACCCTTTTTCCTTTATCTCCTAAAACCAAACAAAGAAAGAAAAAAAACACAAACACAACCATTCAACAACAAGAAACAACACAGAGATATAGAGATTAAGATAGAGAATAGGACAGTGGAGCATGAGAATGAGATAGATAGAATTGATGTTGAAGAAAGAAACACAAGATCCATTTTCTTATTGTTTGTCAGAGTTGACCAAAACCACTTCCCAAACATTAGTACATAAAAAAACACAAATAAACAAACAAGAAAGTACTATGAAACTGTGTCTGTCCCTCTCTTAACCTTTGTTTGCGGCCAAGAAAAGAAAAGATTTCTCATTTTTGTCTCAACTCCACTTTCTCGATTTTCTCTCACCAGGTTCCTTAATTCTCTTCTCTTTCTCTCTCCTTCTTATCAGATCTTACATGTGAATTAAGGTAGTTGTTCATGTGAATATAGGTAGTTGTTCGTGTGAATGTCTTCTTCTTTTCTTGTAAAAAAAATCTTTTTTTTTTATAAATGAAGAATTGTTTATCTTTTTCCTTTGTGGGTTTTGCATGTTATTGTATGTTTTTTCTTTTTAAGGTGTTTTCACTTGATGGGTATGAACTTATTTTGTTGGGACCTAATGTTTTTATATAGTTCTTAAATGGAAGTACCTTAGTAGAGCATGTGGTTGATGAGTTTTGAGAATTATAGATTTGTTTCCAAAATTGGAAGTTGTTTCTTTTGAAGAGTGTTTCTTGTTTCAGAAAGTTTACTTCATTAGTTTGTATCTCTTTTCATAGCAGTGGCATCTGAATTTTACTAAATTAAGGTTTTTATCATCTGTAGTTGTGTTGATTTCATGCATCTTACATTAGCAAGGTTTATAATAAGGCTTCTGCGATTTCGGTCAGCACAGTTGTGACACTGACTACTGTCGTCATATTTGGTATTTATCATAAAAAGGGTGAATAACTGTATGGGTATTGGGTTTTGTCGCGGCCGTTTTCGTGATATTAGACCGTTTTTTAAAACCTTGTCTTGTAGTTTCATTTCCTTGAATGTCATACTCTTTTCGAAAAAGATAATTGTTTTCATGATTATAAGTTAAAACTTCGGTCTTGCAGGCAGTGAAAGCATGGGTGAGCTTTGTTTCATTTTCTTTTCCAGATAGAAGATTTTATGGATGAAATAGGAATTTCGGTTTGAGATCTTTCGTGCAAAATCCAGTTTTTGAACTATTATTAGTTACAAAGCTGGAGTAAGAATGCCTACTGAGTCAGTTCCCAAACCTCGATTCGTATTATGTCCTAAATGCTGGCAGCTGCTTCAAGAGGCTCCGAATTTGGATGTGTACAAGTGCGGTGGATGTGGCACGACTCTTCAAGGTTAAAAATCTCATTATTGTTTATGTTCTTACTTTTAAAGCAGTATTGTCAAATAGCAGCTATAGTGCTATAGCATAGTGGAAATTCTACAACCCGCCATTGTTCAACGATGCGCGGTTTGGTACAAACTGTTGTCAAATAGTGGCTATACCACTATAACGTAGCGGAATTTGAACAAACAGCTATTTTCTACCATCCGCGGTTGTAAATACTGTTTTAAAGTTTCGTTCTCTTTGGAAACATGAAATCTTTTACTTACAAATGAGGATACTGATTCTATACTTAAGTCTCTTATAGTTTTTGAAATTGTTGCTGGAATAACTTCTTTGTGCTTGATGCAGCTAAGAGAAAAAGTAAAGCTTCAAACTCAGAATCCAGCCCAAATGAGATTGATGCAGCTCCTCGAAATGCATCGGATCTTAGTCCTCACGAGAATGTTTTGAGGGAAAAATCAACCAGTTTTTCCTCTGCAGATAGTTCTTCAGAGGGAAATGAAGGAAGGGGTCGATTCGAAAATAATGAGGGCAATGGAGAGCAGCCGGTTTCTACTCAAGAGAATGGTTTAAGGGAAACAGCTTATTTTTCTTCCTCGGAAAAACGTTCTTCGGAGGGAAATACTGAAAGGGGTCAAATTGAAAATGGTGAATACAATGAAGAGCAACCACTTATCTCTCAGGAGAATGGTTTGAGGGAAAAAGAAACTAACCCTTCCTCAGGAGAATGTTCATCGGATGGAAATAGTAAAAGGAGTCAAATTGAAATCGGTGAATGCGACGAAGAAGAGATTGGACCGTTGAAGTTACCAGGTGAAGAACCGAAAAACGCGATGGATATCAATAAGTTATCAGATATCAGAAGGCATACGGCATCCAACAACGGTTGTTCAAATGAGGTTCCACAATGTGATATTGAGGCCTCAGCCGAATCGATGGAAGACAATTCAGTAGAAAAGGAAAATGAGACTAACTTGAAACTAGAAGAAGAAGAGCAAAGTAATGGAAACTTGCCGTTAGAAGAAGCAGGAAATCAATTCATTAGTGTGTTGGATAGAGAAGATGCAAGTGATGAGATATCAGATCTAGTAGGCGCGAAGTCTGAAGCAGACATCGGTGAAAGTGATTTAGAAGTGGCAGGAGAGTTAAATAACGGAAACTTGTCACAAAGAGAAGACCAGGGGTTAATTTTTGGGTCGAATGAACAATGTATCAATAATGAGAAATTGGCTCTAGTAGGTGAAAGCCTAGCAACAGATGTTGATGGGATCGATAAGTCGGAAGAATTAAATAGTGAAAACTTGTTATTACAAAGAACAGAAGAGAACACTGGTGGAAATGCAACTACTGCTGAAAGGTTGAGTACTGAGTACATTGAGTCTGAAAAAATAAGCATTTTATGCATTTCTCCTCGTGAACGTAAAGTAGGTACATCTGATAATCATGCATCTTCTCCTGAAAATATCCGCCATAGCTTTGACCGTGTAATGTCTGCAGATACATTTGACTACACAGAAGTCAACAATCTTGGTTTGAAGATTAGCGGTTCACTGGGAGAATTGACTAAGTCTCCAACCACAAGAAGTTCTCGTGCTTATGATGGCAGTGTCTCTTCTAATGATGGGACGGACGAGCGGTCCCTCGGTCAAAATTTATATTCTTTTGATGGAGGCTCCAGAAAGGGAAAAGGCATTGTTAATAGCATGGTGTACAAAGACGTTCAAACACAATATCAAAATGAGGTATTGGAGACGACAAGACATGATCATGCACATCGGATGAGAACAAAAAGAGACGAGTTTCCGTTCAAAATGCCTCTCCATGGAAGTTTTTCCCAATCAGGCTACGAAAGTGGCAGTCCGTCGAATCAAATATACGAGGAACTCTACCTCAGTTCAAGCTATGTTTCACCTGACTCTGTTGAGGACCCTGATCAGGAGAAGATGAAACTGTTGAGAATGGTTTATAAATTGCAGGATCAGCTCAACAGAACCAGACATGCAGACATGGAAAGAAATGAAAGACCATCCGTGGTAAATCGTATTTCTTCATACCAAAGCCACGATTTTCATGAAGAAAGATTTTATCATGGTTTGGATTACCGTAGTGAGGATGCAAATTCAAGCTACAATCATGGCTTCAACGAACACCAAAGGCGGCATGATTTTCCAGGGATACCAGGCAATGCACGCTATGTTGATCATCCAAGTTTCAATTGCTATCCTCAAGAACAGCAACGCTTGGGAAATTTTCCTCCGTGTTTTCCTTATCAGCGTGAAGATCTTTATAGGCCCCATCCAGCGCATAGCCGTGTCTTGTCTCAGCATTCTTATCCCTCAAGTCCACAACGGTTAATGACCAAACATATACACGGCCGTGAAACAAAATCTTGTGATCAGAGATACAGGGCCCCCGAGATGAACTATACAAGGGAAAAACCAAATGTTACTAAGCGGCATTACCGGCCAGTAGCAGGTGGAGCGCCATTTCTGACTTGTCTTAAATGCTTAAATCTTCTGCAACTTCCTGCAGATTTTCTTCTTTTCGAAAGAGTATGTCATAAGCTCAAATGTGGCGCATGTCAAGAGGTGCTTAAATTTTCTCTACAGAATAGGACTCATATAGTTTCTTATGCTCGAAACACTGTTGGACCGCCATCAAGTGAACTCGATGTACAGAACAAGCTGATAAATGGCTTCAATCCTCATGCTGCAGACCCTGTATCATATTCCGATGATTATGGCCGTTCTGTAAGTAAAAGCTACTCCACAGAAGGAGATCCTGTTTCTGTTGCACCGTTTAATCACTCGCATGATGTTACACGCATTAATCCAAGAGTCTCTCCCACTACCAATGAAGCTATAACAGCGAAGGAGAAAATCACTTCTAGAGGACCTAGCACAAGTAAGACTCCATCTTATAAATCATCAGAAATAGAGGAACAACAGTCACAGCCAAAACCTTCAGCACTTCATCAACTGATGGGTTATTCCTCTCCAAGTCTAGTGATAAGAGGTGCTTCATCCTCTGTTGAAGGAAAAAATGCTATGCTCAATGGAGAATATTAATTTCCAACAGAGCTGAAAATTGAATTTGTTGAATCTAACTTGAAGCTGGGAATGTCAAGAAAGGAATTCTTTATTCAAATTTGAGATATAGTGATGAAGCATCGAGTCAGTGATGTAATTTATTTTTTATAATATAACTATATGGCGTTTTGAACAAGGGCAATATAGCAGTGACATATTGCTCATGATAGTGTATTTTGTTATTCAACTTTCTTACTGTTTTGGAAACATATGTGGAAAATATAATACTTGTATAAATGTGATTCTGGTGTATATGGATGTAACTATTTGTGTTTATTGAAAATTTATTGTATCCCAAATGAGTCAAGCTTACTACAACAATGGCTTATTTCATTTATATATACAAAAGTAACAACAATACAGATAAAATCTTTTGAGCTAAAATAAGGTACATATATATTTCTTGTACTCTTACATACTGACTTATTATTAAATTTCTCTATAGTTGCTTCTTCTGTTGGAGGCAATAGAAATCCTCTGATCCTGAAGCATGTTCAAATTGGGAGCCAGCAACCGCGTGTACCGGTCAAAATACAAGAGCTGCTTCAGGAGAAGCGCAAATTCTCGAGGAAACTTTAATCCATAAGATTCACTAACCCGAACCTGTGGAGTACAAAGACCGCATAAGTACTACATAATAACTACCCTTCATCGAACAAATTAACATTCCAGTTAGCACAATCTAAAATATCTTACCACATCAAGGAATAGTGCATTCATCTGCCTCTCATCGACAACTACATTAGCAGAGATAGCAGCTGGATTTCTGGCTGTTCCACTTCTAGCTGCTACAACTACTTCAGTGTCCAACTCCTGCACTTGAATAGCAGGCACAAATGCAGAATGTAAGCAATAACTCCAAATGGGTTTGGGTTAACTAAATGTACAAAGCTGAAAAATTCTTCCCATATTAGCAGACACGTAAACATTGACCTACGAGGTCGTTGTCACACATATAACTGACAAGTGAGTTTATGTGTGATACAGGACACTTGCCTTAATTGATGAAAACACTTTCTCCAAATCTCTGGAAAAGGCATTAGCATTTACATCGTTGCTTGTAGCACCCATTTGAATTAAGGAAGATGCCATTGAGTCATAATCTTCAATGGCAATCGATCCTAAGAAGACTTCCATAGCAGCCCAGGTTTTGGGAGATATGCGACCAACAATTCCTGTAGATTGAATTTTGTTTTTAGAATATCAATATAGATTGTAAATGTACATAATATCTATACAAAATGTGTGGTCATTTAGAAGAGAAAAGGCATAGTTTGTAAAAGAACAAAGAAATATCAATGATTAGAGTTTGCAAAGGGATGATAAATTCGAAATAAAATGTATAGACAACTCTGAGACCTTGGCAAGTTAACAGATGACTAAAATACATCAAAACGATATACAACACAAGTATAGCCAACTGTAAACTGCGCACAAGGACGAAAAAGCATACCAAAGTCAAGAAATCCAATACGGCCATCACGTAGAAGCCACAAATTTCCAGCATGCACATCTGCATGAAAAGATTCACATGCAAGCAAACTTCCAAACCTGCAGCAGTATTTATACCAAGATACATTATCATGTTAAAAGAGGAAGGCACAGAGGTAAACTGCAAAGGGAAATTTGGAGTCATACCACACATTGAGAGCAGTTATAACACTTGTTTCCGGGCTAGTAACTAATGAACTAATGGAGTCAAGGTCAGTAAGAGGAACTCCATATAGTCTTTGCATGGTTAAAACTTGCTTTGTACTACAGTTTTTATACACTTTTGGAGCTGTTGCTTGTCCAGTGAGTCCTGTTGCTTCTAAATATCTCCTGAAAGCCTCAACATTTGCAGCCTCCTTGTAAAAGTCAACTTCTTCAAGCATAGACTCTCGTATGTCCTTTACAATACCAACCTACTAAAACGAAACACGTGTTACAAGAAATGAAGCACTTGTGTAAGTGTTTGGAAGAGCTTATGAACACAGGTTATGATATGACCCTAAGCCCCCATAATTGCTTCCAAAAACAGCTTATGCAGAGCTTATATGAACTTCACTCTTAATTCATTTCAATGACAGAATAGATTATACATAAACACTTACACAATAACCTCATTAAATAAGTGCCTAATTAAGTTGCTTACCCAAATGAGCATCAAAAGGAACTTTATATATTTAGAGGTTAATAGTCTATCTATCTCTAAACCTAATACATGAAACAATTTGATGACATTGATTGATCCGTGTAGCCAATCTCATTCAGTGGTGTAGTTGTTGACTACAAAACTAATAACAGAAGAATAGAAATAAAGAAGTTTTAAGCATCCTTAACGATATAAGAAACAAGAAAGAAAATGAATTTAATAAAAAGGATAATGAATGTAACCTAGTAAAAAATTTCATTGGCAGTGAAAAAATGACATAAAAGAAGCATTATTTTTATATTGTATTTGTAGCAAGAGTATTCATGTAGAAGTAAGTGTGTCCATATTTCTTATACCAGTGATGTCCGACTTATTTCAGGATTCAGGAACTCCAATATCCGAGCAACAACATAAACAAAATTAAGATCCGCCAGTAATATGTCCTCTATTCCTGGTTTTAAGACCTTTATAACCACATCCTCTTGTGAGCCTTTTAGCCTTGCACCATGAACCTATATGTAATACAACAATGGCATTAACACTGTAAGTTTAATAAAATGTTATTGAAAGAGACAGGTGTACACAATATACCTGTGCTATAGATGCAGAAGCAAGGGGTGTTGGGTCGACATATTCGTAAACACTTTCTATTGGTCTTCCTAATTCCTTGCGCAATATTGCTTGAATTTCCTCAAAAGAAACTGGAGGAGCTCTATCAAAACAGTTCTGAAATTCTTGTACATACTCAGCTGGAAACAGTGTTGGTGCGGACGCTATGAACTACCAGACAGAAACCAAAAATAACCATTGGTACAAAGGCTCCAGTCATAAAGTTCAATTATTATATATTAAACCTTAACTCTTAGAATTAGTTTCCACGTTTCTTTATATTTCATAAAGATGGTTGGTGCCTAGTCTTTTGTGTAAGAAATCATAACAGAATTTGAGGTCATTAATATTTTTTCCCTCCCTCCTTACATAAAACCCTGTAACTTTAACAATTACAAAACATAAACTGAGAGGAGTGAGGAGAAAGGAACGGTACCCACTTATACCTGTCCTAATTTGATGTAGGTTGCCCCGAGGCGTTCAAACAACCTCCTCAAGTAAAAGGGGGACAGTAAGCCAAGTTGCAATTCTTTCGGTAACCCAGCAGATGGATTTGTTGACTGCAAAAAAATGAAAGAAAGCTAAACAATTCTGCCTTTTTTTTATGAAAAAAAATGTTGAGAGAAAAATAGAAGACACAAACTACTATTCTAAAGGAATGAGGAACAGATGCAATTTTTTATTTTCATTGACAAAGACAAAGGTTAGCAATGTATACACCAGCAAGATATCTCAGACCTATACATTTTAAAATAATCCTTCCTTACCATAAGTGTTGTAAATAGCAAGTTGTTTGAATTCCACTACACAATAGTATTATAGCTTATGTTTAATATTTTGTACTAAATAGCATATCACAGAACAATAACCGTTTGTGCTACGGTATAGCTGCTATTTAACAACACTACATGTCATAGTATGAAGCACGGACACCCCAAATACGACCCCAACACTAACACGGCGACACTGGTAACAATTTGAAAAAATAAAAAAATTAAACGTAATCACAAGCGTTGGTGCTACATAACATACCAAGATGTGCTTCACAAATGTCAGTTTACCTTTGATGCATCGGTTAACCACTCTTGACCAACCCCAAGGAAAGCTTGAACACCTTGAACCAACCTAAGAGCACCCCTAGGACCCGTCTCTACAGATGTCTGGACAATGTCCTCCACAAGCTTGGGCAGCTTTTCAATACTATCTGACATAACAAATCACACAAATTACATGCATTTCAGCACAAAAAAGCCAAACCATTCCACGTCCAAAGTAATTAATTTAACACTATCACTGGTGTAAGAAAACATTTATCATATTTTTCATTACGAACTATGAAACAATTGTCTGAACATTTACTTTGTAATAATAACAATTGCCTGAGGGAATTGAAAGAAAAAACCTTGGATTCGACGAGATGAGAAAAGGTCCTGTGTTTGAGCATAGCGAGCAAAGAGAGTGAATCTCTTGGACTTATTGAGCTTCTCGAAGGAAGGAGATGCCAATGGTGAACGAAGACGGTGATGGTGAATTAACGGTAAAGCGCCAGTTCTCAAACCCGAAACCGCCATGGACGATGAAGGTTAGTTCAGAGTTGAGACAAGAGGAGTAACGTGGACACAGTTTCGTTTATGGTTATCATGTTTTCTTCTTCTCCATCAATTTCGATTCCGGTTAATTTTTTTTTTTAATTTTTTTATTTCATTTCATACGATTGCAAAAGATGTCTCCGCCATAAATATCGTGTATTAGTTTAATTAAGAAAAAAAAAAAAAAAGATGTATTTAAAGTAATTTTACATGGTCAACTAATAATATTTTAGAATTATTTAAATGACATAATAAGTGGTTATTTTTTTATTAGTCTATTTTATTTTATATTATCGGTATATTTCATTATTTTTTTAATTAATGAATTTAATTAACGAGTATTATTGGTGTAAAAAAAATTTCTACAATTATTTAATAAGAAATCATTAATCTATCAAATCATAAAATTTATTTTAAATTATTAATATATATGACAGAATATATGTTGTTTATTGTGATACATATCTCAAAATTTACAATATCATCGGTGTATTTTCTATTTTTTCATAAATAAATATATTTAAATTATTTTATATTTTATTGTTTAATTAGATTTTCTATCGGTTAACTAAATTGTTTATTTCATATTGATTACATAATATTTTTTTGTTTATTTCATATTTCATACACTCAACCTTCGTGGTAAAATTAACAATATTTTTTATTTTTAACTCTTTCAGTTCAAAACACCGCCATTTAAATAAGACACATAATTAAATTGGTATATGAAGTCATCTTTATATATCTGAAAATTAGCATTGGCGTACCCTATTATAGTGGGTTCTTTCTGGGAATTTTTTTTAGAAATAATCAAGTATTGAAAAAAATATATAAATAATCATATTTTGAAAAAAATTATGCGAATAATCATGTTTCAGAAAATCCCACAATGGAGGTGCCAAGTGAGATGGCGCATACACTCACCTTTTTGTCCTAGGCGCCATCTCACTTGGCGCATGCACTTTATTTTAGCCAAGTGAGATGACGCATGTACTATAAAAAGGAGAGGATGTGCCATTTTATTTGGCTTCTACGTACAATTGTGTTTTCTATAAATAAAACACTCATTTCTCCATCATTCTTCACACTGTCTTATTATTATTTTTTCTCTGTTATTTGCGTCATGACATCTCCCATAATTTTCACCAGAGATGGATACGTTATTTTCCCGGCCATCAAACCTCCGATGAAAATAAAATTTTGGCACATTCACTCTATAAAGCGTCTGAAGAGAGAGTTGATGCGATGGCTAGAGGGAGATATCGAGGCTGGGGAACAAATTAGAAGGATACAGAGAAGAAGAACAACCACGTCGCTTGCAACTGGAAGAACTCAATCTTGGTTGGAGGAAGTCAAAACAGACAGAGATGTAATGGTGATGATGCATGACTCAGATGTAATTGTTTTGACGGTCGTAATTTCTTATACGTTTTATCGTGCTTTTATTTGTTGTTTGCGTATGTTTTGCTGTAACAAATACTCTTAATGAAAAAAAGATACGTTTAGAACTTAAAAAAAATGCAGATGGTTTTCATACAATTTTTATGTTGTCGAGCTTGTAGGCCGAGTTGGAAAAAAATTTTGATTGTGTCCGACCTGACGACATAAACCACACTTTCTTTCTAGCTTGTCAAGGGAGTTCATTTCAGTTGTGATAAGCTTGCTTTTGGGATGACCCTTTTTGAAATTCTGGCAGCAGATACTCAATGTCACAGTGAATGTTATGACACCGTATCTGACACTCTTCAAGACAGTAAATTTAAAAGCAGTAAAGAACACAATCAATTGTTTACCCAGTTCAGTGTGTAACAACACCTACTCTGGGAGCTACCAAGCCAGGGAGGAAATTCACTATAAGAGATATTAATTCAGGAATAAACCAACCAGTTTATCTCCTTCACTTAAGACCTACCCAATGCAACTTCAATCTAAGTTCAACTTAAACCTGAGTTCCTACTCACTCCCCCTCAATCACAGCAGTGATACTAAACAATTGATTAATGAAATTATGAAGACACTCTTCAGAACACACACTTGATTTTGCTTCACAGTTTTAATCAAGTGACAATCACTCGTGCTTCAAAGCTTTGAGTGATACACAACCCTAACTTGACTTTGCTTCAAAGCTTCAATCAAGTAACACAAACACTCGTGCTTCAAAGCTTTGAGTGATACACAACCCTTACAATCAAATCCTACTCCAAATCACTTATCACAATGATAATTGATTGGCTCACAGTAGTTACAACTATACAGTCCCTTATTGATCTTCTGTCAAAAAGTGTCCTTCACCAACAGTCTTCATGAGGAATATAAAGGCAACTATTCTTCAGTTAAGGCTTCCACGAAAATAGCTAGGGTTAATTAGGGTTAACCTCAAGACTTAGTCATAGGTCTTTAACAACCAGATTAGGGTTAAGCAAAGTTAACCTAATGTCCACGTGAGAATCTAATCTGGACTGTATAAACCAAATTCTTGAAAATTCTCAGAAATAACAAATCTGCACAAATGTTAGATCAGTACAGGATGTCTTAACATTGGTTATGACAACAAGAATCCTGTTTATTGATTTTGGTAGAATGCAAAAAATATGATCATTGCATAATGATCAGCTAAACACTCATATTGAGCAGCTCCTGTATGACATTCTTTTTCTGCAGAATGTACCTTGTATCCTAGAATGATATGACATCAGTCATGACATTCACACAACTGGTTTTACCAAAAAACATGCCAACAACCAAACACTTACAAACTCCCCCCTTTGGCAATTTTTTGGCTAAAACCCCTAAACAATCAGAGATTAGAAAGCAGCAGAATTTTTTAATAACATCTACCAAGTCTAATTCTACCAAAATTATCACAAAAACTTCTCCCCTTCTTTAGCCATAAATAGGCCAAAGATACTTGTACTTTTAAGTTATACAGTCATCCAAAAGGAATAATAAAAACACAGAGAAAAAATCAAAAGTCATTTGCAGCAACAGGAACCAGCAGCAAACTTGTCAACAACACTGATCTTCAAGCATTGTCATCTTCAGAGGAGGCACTATCTTCAGCATTAAGCTGGTCCTCATCAGCATTCCCTTCCCTTCTTTGTCCTTCAATCTCCTCCTGTTCTAGTCTAGCAATCAGGTCCTCAAGAGTCCTTTTCCTTGTATCAAGCTCTTTGCAGGTTTCCTTCAACACAGCTATAACATCAGTTTTCTTGGAATGAGATTTGATAGTTGATGTCTCAGCAGATGTCATGACAATGTCAGGAACATGTGTTCCCTGAAATAGCTTATAGTGCAAACCAAGAGCAGGGGCTCTTTTGCATACAGTATCTTTTTTAACTAGAATGTGTAGCGATAAAAAATGTAGCGGGGTAAATCGGAGATCGAACTATTAATTAATTCGTCTCACAAAAGCAAGAGTCGCCACCGCGCTTTATTATTTCCAAGGGAAAAGGAGAAAGAGCGAAATAAAACCCTAAAGTATGCAATGTAAAATAATACTTTTAAAAGTAATGAAAATACAAGGTGTTTTTGAAAAGAGGTCTATGGTTCGGGGGTTGGTTATACAATGGGAAGGTATTAGCACCCAATGTATCTATAGTACTCTATAGGAACCTTTTGAAATATCTGTTTATTAAGATTGTTCGTTTGATTAAAAAATAAATTGTTTTTGCCGAAAAGGGGTACGGACGGGTTTTTGAAGATACGACGACCTAACGTCGAAGCTTTGACTTAAAAGGTATAAGTTTTGAAGAAATTGAATATTTGGGGAAAAATTACCTTAAGTTTTAATGAAATGAAGATATTCGCGTGACTAGATTTGAGGACATGAAGTCAACAAATTTAATCGTTTTTCTCTTGGATTTAGACGTAAACAGAATAACCAAGTAAAGATGAAATAATTAAACAGAAAATTATACAGATAATGATTAAGTAGCTAAGTGATATATGACCATAACAATGATTGAATAAACAGACTAAATGGCGTGAACATGCATTTTTTATATTTTTTCGTTTAATATGTACAAAACAAGAGAATTAATTAAAGAAAAATAAAATGTTTTAATCCTTAAATTTCTATTTTTTTTATAATTTTGTATTAATATAAAGTATTACTTTAAGAATTATTAAATAATTTTAAACTAAATTAAAACTTTAAAAGTTACTAACTTAAATCTAATTAAAAAAGGGAATACTAAAATTACTAAATTAATCCTAAAGTTAAACTTAATAAAAATTGGTCACATTATTTAAAATTTGTTTAATTAAATTACCTCTATTTGATTAAATTTACTAATTAACTAAATTAATAAAATTCTGAAAAAACTAAAAGAAAATAAATAGAAAAAGGGGTATTAAGAAATAAAGGGGGAGATAATGAACAAAAGTATGGGCCAAAGGGTTTTAAGGGGGGCCCAACCAAAGACAAACAAAAATGGGGTGGGGTGAATTTAGCAGAAGTGAAATGGGTTAAGCAAAGGAAACGGGTTAGGCCCAACATTGAGACGAAATTTTAGGGTTTCTGATATTTGTTTTCATTAGGGAATTGTTTAGGGTTTGTTGAGACAGAGGCGCCGCTTGTTCATCGTTTCACTTCGTCTTCTTCGCCTTTGCCTTTGCCTGAGCTTCTCTTCCGTCTAGAGCCACCGGTGCAGCCTCCACCTCTTCTCCCTCCAACGATTACTCCAGCGGTGTTTGTTCAAGGTAACAAAACCTTAGTCGCTCGCGTTAGGGTTTCAGTTTATCTCATATGTTTTACTTTTTGCTTATTGATTCGAATTAAATACTGTGGTTTTTGTGAAAGGAGAAAGGGGATGGGTTCATACCTCTGTCTTGAAGGTGGAGACGAGGTGGAGCGGAGGTGCGTGGAGGGCCGGACGGCGAGGGAAACGTGAATGAAGCTAGCTTTGCAAGGAGATCTGGTACTCTATATTTGTGTCTCTTTGGCCCTTAGGTTTGATGATGACTTGAAAACCTTTTGTGCA